CCCCCCCCCCCCCCCCCCCCCCCCAAATTGCCCCCCCGGATGTGTAGATATCATACCTTGATACTTTTTATCTTTGACTCCCGCCACTGCTCCGGCGTGAGCTTCCTCCGGTTAAGGTTCTTCTCGTTCGGGCAGTCGGCGATGCACTCGTCCATGAACTTCTTGCCCTAGGGGGGGGGGNGGGGGGGGGGGGGGGGGGGGGGGGGGGGGGGGGGGGGGGGGGGGGGGGGGGGGGGGGGGGGGGGGGGGTCGAGACGCAAGTCGTTGTCGTTGTTGTTGTTTGTTGAGGAAAGAATACACACATTTGATTGGGACGTCATCGACATAGCGTGAGAAATAATACCAGCTCACAACATGTACACACGACCATTCAAAAACAATGTTTACAGTCACTGAAGCTGGAGGCAGCATTAGAACCGTTCTTGTGAAGTGGTTATTCAACGAGGATGACCCTTGTGTGTCGACGATAAAACAAGCAAGTCATCGATCTCAGCATCAGCAACTCCCCTGCCTCCAAACCCCAACAGCAGCACACGGGCGGGATGCCTGCGTACAAAACGATAAAAACACGCAAGTCAAACCAAAGCCCGTCCCTCTCACCTGGTGCCACGTGTGGTCGTCCACCGCTAGCCAGCGAGCGGCCTCCGTCGCGGCCTCCACGATCATGCCGTCGGCCTGGGGACGAGGCAAGCGGGGGGGTGTCACCAACACCCCGTCGACGTTACCGCCGCTCTTTGCGGTCGTGCCCGGTCTCAACCACACCCCACTGCCGCCGCCGCCGCCGCCGCCACCTGCTGCCTGTCCTAGACCACAGCTGCCGGTGCTACCACCGACGCTAGGGGGTACCGGCGGCCCAAGTCCCGCTTTGGCCGAACCCCCACGCCCACCGCTCTCTCCTCCCCCTATCGGCCGGGTAGGCGTTACGACCGCCCCTTCGCCTGCCGCCGCCGCCGCCGCCGCCGCCGCCGCCGCCGCCGCTGCCGTCTCGCCGACCCCGGGGCCGCTGGGCATACCCATGCCCTGTGCTTGTCCCATCTGCGCGGCCACCCCGCCCGCGCTCTCAGCCACCGCTCCTGCCGCGGCCGAATCAATGCTGACTATTCGGCGGTCATCGCCGCCGCCGCTGCTGGTGTGCGCCGCGCCCGTGTTGGTCACAACACCGGATGCGGATACAGCAGCAGCCTGCTGCTGCGGCGGCTGCTGCTGCGGCGGAGTCGGTTCGCCTCCGCTATCCGGCGGTGGCGACGACAACACGGCCACCGCGGACGCTGCAGCGGCGGAGGGGGAAGCGGCCGCTGAGTGGGGCGCCACCGCCGGAAGAGCGGGTTGAGTAGCGGCCGCCGCCGGGGGGGGGGACACCGGCGCCGCAGCCGGTGGTGGTTCCGAGGGGGGCGAGGTGTCTCCCGCCGTGGGCCGGGAGGGCTCCTGTTCGCTCTGCGGATGCCCGCACGCAGGCAGGGGGGTGGTTTGTTCGCGGTGGTTAGACGGCGGCCCGAACGCGACCCCGGGAGCCAATAGCAAGAGAGGGCGCGATAAACTCACGGTACACCCGTGTCAGCCCGTCCAGGAAAGCAAAGGCACATACGGCGAATACGAGACTAGAAATCGGCAATCCCTACACGCGACAATGTTTGCGTTGGTCACATGTTTGGAGAGCGGCGGGCGGGCGACGGAATTCTCCCCCAAGGGGCTGCCACTTAGGCCTCTTGCTATGCCCCCCCCCCAAATGAACTAGCCGAACACCTCACGTCGCTTCGCGCTTGGTGATGTGAGAGCCTGGTCCGGTGAGAACCCAGCGTGCTACGTCCCGGCTTTGTAGGAATGCGAGGTCCAACGACTTCGGCATGCAAGGCCTTGAGGTAGCCCCCCCTCCCCCCCAGCTGTACCCTTCTCCCCGGATTTTCCTCACCTTCGCAAGGCGGTCGGTACTCCTCGACAGCAGGCTCTTAAGGTCGCGGTCATTGTTGCGAAGGCGGTATTCCAGAACGTCGTACATGTCGGCGGCCTGCGAGCCGCGCGCGGTGTTGTGCGGTGCTATGTTTGGACGTTGCTGTGTGCGCGTGCTATATATGTCTGTCTCTATTTCCTTAATAGCATCAGCAGGCTGACCATTGACAACACTAGAAAATACGCCAGATTCAGTGCGGCATAACACAGGAGGTCATGACCTGGGACCCCCGAAACGGGGCGTCATGTGTGTGTGTGTGAATGTGTTTCGGGACTAGTCTTGTGCTGAACACGAATGTTCTGCGTGTGCATGGGAAGGCGCGCGTAGTGCGCACGTGTGTGTGTGTGTGTTTGGGACTGATCTCCTACATGTGCTTTGCACCAATTTCTGCGTGCGAATGAGAGAACTCGAGCGCGCGTACCGGCCCGGCCGTCCTTCGTGGGGCGCTATGATTGGCGCGACCAACCTACCGTAACAGGCAGAGCGATGCCCTGGACCAACTTTCAAAGCTCGATTGCTCCACAACCGAGAGGGTGCGAAAAGAGCCCGATATTTTTACGGAAAGCGCTCGACGATATCTGTCAAAAACCGTCCTTTCGGGGGTTGGCACAATCTTGGTTTCGTGGGGGCAATCAAGCTTTGAATATTTGTTTAGGGGGGGGGGTACCAACTCTCCGCCTCTTACGCTACATCATCGTCGCGCTTGGCAACACGGAAAGGTCCAACGCGCCTGCCGAGAGCGAGCGCGACACCATTGAGGAAACCCCGTTGAAACCCGAGAAGTTGTGCACCACCCAATTTCGTGCCGCACAGGTCTTGGGTCTTTTTAACAGTTGGTACTGCTGTACCAGAGCTTTATGTCGGTACAGGTGGTCTGCCCGCCGTGTGGCTGGGTACACCGCCGCCACCATGGGTGGGAGGAACGTAACAACATGGTGGTACTGAAGCACTCACCGCGGCAGGCATCCTGTGCATGCACACACGCCCTACACTGCTGTGTTTACGCCCCACACACAAGAGAAAACAAACGCTTCTCTTGAGCGACAACCCTACTGCTGTGTTACCCCCACTGGTACGTCAGAAGCGTACACCGAAACGTGCGTTTAAGATTGGCGGCAGATCAGGCGGGACAAACAACACACACGCGCGCGCGGGCCCGCTTGCTGCCAGAGTGCGTTCGACCGCACCTCATGCCTCACGATGTCCGGCTGCCGCGCCTCCCCCGCCGGGAGAATCACCGGCGACAGCGGCTGCTGCTGCATCCTCGGAACAGCGACGCCCGCGGGCGGCGGTGGCGGCGGCGGCGTCTGCTGCCGCCCGCCGCCCCAACGAACCGCCTGCATCATCCTCTCGAGCTCGGCATCCGAAGCAGCGGGGACAGGCGTTGGCTCCTCCTCTTCCGCGCGATGCTGCTGCTCTTGGACAGACTTGCGTCCACCGGCAGCTTCCGCTGCCGTCGCCGCCGCCGCCATGGGCTGGAGCGAGGAGCGATGCCTCTGAAGGAGCATGTCCGCCGCGGATGCGGGTGAGCTATCCATGCCTACGGTCGCCCCTTGCTGTGTGTGGTGTGCTACGGAGAACACGGTCGAGGTGATTTTTTTCGGAGGAGGTGGCGGGGGGGTTGGAGGTGGAGATGTAGGCATGCATGAACGACGGAGGAAAGAGAGAGTGAGAACGTGAGAACCAATACACGATTCAGTGCGAAGAAGGCAAAAAAAACACACGCACCGAGTGACGTATACCTCTCGCTCTTTCCATCGGCCCTTTGCACCGCAGCTCATGAAACAAACACAGCAACAGGTTGCCCTATGAATACACAATAACACGCAGAAACGGGTTTCCTAACGTCTCGCGAAGGTGGAATCTTCGAACATGTTTTACAGCAGTCGAAGCTTTCCTGCATCATCTCGTGACGGTGTCATGTATACTAGTCTAAATACTTAGCATTTGAAAAAAGAAACATACATGCACCAGAACCCCACCCATGGTTCACAGCACTTCCGGGCTTCACAACGGTGGTTCGTTTCCAAGCAATACTGCTGCAGCAGCGGGTGGGTCTCTGTGAACTCGGCCCTCCTCACACATGTCCAGGCAGAGAGCAGTTGGGCCGCCTGCCTCGACGGATGTCGAAGGGGGCCGGGTTCCTGGAGAGCACAATCCACGCTCCCGACAATGCTCACGCAAGTTATTTGGGTCTACAAGGTTGTATATCGCCAACAGAGGGTGGTCACCTTCGGTGTTGGTGGGTCTAGTGGTTCGGTTGTTTCGATAGAATCAAGGAACCAAAATCGCACCACCAGACACACACCATCAACACACGGGCCCCCAAATTCAAAAAATACAAATATTCCCCCCAGCAGGCAAGATCGAGACGCGATCGAGACTATACACCTGTCAAAATGTCATCAAAACAAAACTCCGTCCTCACGCACTGCCGCACCTTTGGCTCCAATCAGGCAACACCGACCACAACCAGAATATTCTCCGACGCCAGCGTGCGCCGTTGAGTGTGTCGCGCGCTCTTGCACAGCCACCACACAGCAGCGCCTTGGCAAGGGAGCGCGCGCCTGGTATCGTATTTTGCACCCTACCCAAAAACAATCTGCGTCGCCCCACGGCTCTCTCCGCTCTCCTCCCTCCCCGGCCCTACAGCCGCACACGGACACATAGCCACGAGCCAGTGAACGGGGTCGACACTAAGCGGGTGAGGGTTATGAGAGGAGCCGTGTGTTGTGCGTGGGTTTATTCCCTGTGTCTCGGTGTCTGAGAACCGGACACGACATGAAAAAACGCGAATCCTGCTTTCTTGGCGGAATGGAACAAATCGCCGTCGCTACTCTGCTCTGCTCTTGCCACGGCCGCTACTTGCTGCCTTGTGTCCTAGGTCCAAAACGAGGTGCACGTGAATAGACAGGCATCGGCCGCACCAGCACGGACTCAGCCATGGTTTTTCGCCCGGGGAAGAGCGGCAGCAGCCTAGCGGTGTTGCTTGCGACCATCTCCTGCTGTTCGGGAAACGAGATCGCCCGGACATGCCAACAGCTGAAGGATCGCATCACGCCCGTTGACAGGGAAGGACCTTCCCTGATCACGACCACCCTGGGAGAAGGCGAGGCGCTGAGCTGCTTGGAAGGGGTGAGTGAACCGGGGACGGCTGGTGGGTGCATACCTTGCCCCTGTTTGTGTGTGTATTGAGACTAACATGCGAGATTTCTAAACATCGTGTTTTCTCCGGATTGATCATTCGACACACCTACAGCAACAACAGTTGACCCACATTTTTTGCCGTTCGTGAAGTCATGCCTTCTTCCTATTCCTACACCCAAGCGACCATTTCTCGCTGGTTGCACGCCCGTGCTTTTGTTGGCTCGTTGACCGCGCGCGGCGTATCCGTGTCTAGTTTTGTCGTCGACTGCCCTTAAGCGGCTGACGAATGGGGAAGGAAAACGGCAATTTGTCTCTGTAGTCTGTTGTATGCATACATGCAGGAAAAACAATTACTCCACACACCGTGTAGGAGAGGATCCTGAGTTTGGCGGTCGGGAGTTACCGCGGTCACGAGATCGAGGTAGGTCGTGATAAGCCAACTTGGAGACAGCTGCCGATGGGTTTGAACCCAAATGCCCCGGTTTGGACACCGGGGCAAGGCAGCGGTGGAGAGCACGGAGAGGGTGGCGGGATGATCGCACACCGTGTGGGTAAGCACCCAACAGGGGGACGGAAAGGGTCCAGAGCTGGAGAGCCACGCCGCTCCGGGACAGGAAGACACCTCGCTGGGAAAGGCAAGCACCGGGTTAACTCTTACATTAACCCGAGGATCCGCAGAGCAATAAAAATAAAGAAAATAAAAAAAGGAAGGAAGAAGAGGAGGAGGGG